TTAGGGTTTGCAAAGAGATTTGAAACTCTGTGATTTAGACATAGATAACTTCTACAATGAGAATTGATTAGTTATATCTTTGCGATTCATGTTCAAGACGGTTTTAATTCATTCCTGATTGCATGCATTCTACACTCTCGGATTCAACCTGCGAACTGTCCTGACTTAGCGCCTTTAGCCTTCTGAACTTTAAGAACAAGCATAAAACGCCCTCTTGCATTTATTTTACTGTTTAGCATTACATTCATTATTTATCGCTTAGCTTAATCTGAATCTATAATCGCTAGTGTGGTTTACATACTCCCTTGGGATTCGATAACCCCTTGTACTACAACTGCTTTTGCTGTGCACTTGCAGTAGTTTTATTTGGGTAAAACCTGACCCTATCAAGCTTGAAACAGGACATCGAATAAACAGGCATTGCCATGGCAATCGATTTAATTAAGACCTCTTTGCCAGCATGGTTTAGAAGTTTTGAGCTCCAAGAATTTGTTTGTTGTTTGACTTTGTTTGTAATGTTCGTGAACATCTGTTTCTTCTTTCTACCAAACTGTTCAGTGAGTCCAAGGTACTTACCCCCGCCTCCATGGTTCATAATCCCCAGACATGTTTTGAGACGATCCTGTCTCGTTCCCAGAATACGTGAACCGAAAGTTATCATAGATTTATCCTGATTTATTTGTTGTCCCGAACTTTGTTCGTATAGTCGAAAAACATCACGGAGAGCAGTGCAGTTCTTTTCATTTGCCTGGCAGAAAAATAACGAATCATCTGCAAAGAAAAGATGCGTGATTCGTGAAACCTCGTTGCCTATTTTGATTCCATTTATTTTTCCTTTGACAGTGTTTCGGTCGATGAGATGACTCAATACATCGGCACATAGGATAAATAAGTAGGGAGATAAAGGATCACCCTGTCTCAAACCACGTTGTGGAATGATATATCCGTGTGGTTTCCCATTAATAAGTACGGAGTATGTAACGGATCCTACCATAGCCACGATCCAATGAACCCATTTATCGTTAAAACCGAAGGCCTTCATAGTAGCTTCAAGGAAACTCCATTCTACTCTATCATATGCTTTTGTCATGTCGGTTTTGATTGCCATATATGTTTGAGAAAATCTCTTTCTGGTTTTGAGGGAATGCATCAGTTCATGAGCGACGAGGACATTGTCAGAAATCAGTCTCCCAGGAATAAAGGATGCTTGTGATTCAGAAACAATTGAATCCAAGAAAGGCTTTAGCCGGGAAACCAAAATTTTTGAAATAATCTTATAGGAGACATTGCAAAGTCCTATTGGTCGATATTGTGAAAGAGAGGTCGGGTTTGTTGTTTTGGGAATCAGGCACAGATTAGTATGATTTATACTATCTCCTAAAGTAGATGAGTGAAAGAAAGATAACACCTGTGAGGTTACATCGGGACCTACAATATCCCAACATTGCTGATAGAATCTTGCAGTGAAACCATCAGGGCCTGGAGCTTTATCGGAGCCTATTGCACAAACAGCATTGAAAACCTCCTGTTCGCAGATCTCTTTAGTAAGAGCATAATTTATATCGGGTGTTAATGTAGTTTTAAAGTCTTCAAAGATAGTCGGGGATATGATATTATTATCACTGGTATACATGTCCCGAAAGTAATCTGCGGCATGGTTGCCAATGTTATTATCGCCATAGAAAGTATGGCCATTGGAATCTTTGAGAGAGTGGATTCTATTTGTGGACTATCTACATCTCAAAATTGCATGATAGAATTTCGTGTTTTGATCGCCATTTATGAGCCAGGAGTTCCTACTTTTGATATGCCAATAAGTTTCCTCATTATGGTATGCCTGTGCTAATGCCTTTCGAAGGTGTGAAACAGTGGAGTGGTTTGAATCCGTCGCAGTTAAAACATAGTCGAGTTGGCGTTGCAGGTTTTCAATTTGTTTTGCAGAGTTTGTTTTGAGATTATGTCGTGAAAGATGAAGTGTTCTTTGGACGGCAGCTAAACGATCAGGGATGGAAGTTCTCTGTGTCTCTGAAGACGGAGAATGCCAACCTTGAAGTACATATTGTTTGAACTGCGGATGCTGCAGGAGCCGTTTATCAAATCGAAAAGGTTTATGGATAAACTCGTCAACGACAGCGACGGTGGTTACAACCGGCCTATGGTCAGAAGCACAGAAACCATGAAACTCTGCAAATGATGCAGGGAAGGTAGCCATCCATTCGGAATTTGCCAAAACGCGATCAAGACAGGATCTAATTTTATGAACTCCTCTATTTCCACGCCATGAGAAACGATTCCCTTTAGAACGTAAGTCTTTGAAATCGCAGACGCTAAACATATTTCTAAAACTTTGAAAAGATCGTTCCGATCGTTTTGGTCCGCCTTTCTTTTCGCTATTTGATAGAATTTCGTTAAAATCACCCATAATGAGCCAAGGTCCGCGACGTGTTTGATTGATTCGTTCTATTTTTTTCATAAATCATGTCTTAGGGAATGATTTGGGTTGCCGTAAACGCAAGACAAATAGAAATTAAATCCATTAGATTCAATAGAAATATCGATCATACGGATCGATTGATACAAACTAGTAATAGCTATATCCTTTTTCCAGAACAACGCCATACCACCACTATGGCCTTGAGGAGGGATAGTAATCGAGAAATCGAAACCTAAAGGAACACAGAAGTTTCTCACAACAGTACAAGGATTCATAGTTTCAACTAAGAAGAGTAGATCTGATTGCACTTTGCGACACATCTCCCGTAGTCTGTCTTTCGTTAATGGTGCTTGGAGGCCTTGACAGTTCCAGGAGAGAAATCGGAGATTGTTCTTCAGAGACGAAGGGGTGCGAGACCCCCATTGATGTCGTTTGGCTGATGAATGCTGAAGGAAGGTTGGGAATCCTCGAAACTTTCAACTTTGATCAGAGAGATGATCTTGTCGTCGTTGAAAGTAGAAGGCACAACCAGGGCTTGTCGTTTGCGTGTTGCAAACTCGTCAAGGAATTCGTAAGATGCTTTGTAGGTTGGATCAGTGAAATCATCAGTATCTCTTTTTTTACGTTTGAGTGCTTTCGAAGAAGACGGGACTGGATCTGTATTGCAGATGAAGGCATCAAAATCGGATGACATTTGTGAGTACTCAGGTTCGTTGCAAACCAGACCCTGCGTTGCTAAGCCAGGAATAGCAGGAAGGGAGTCATCTGTGAAGCCACGGTGGTAGGAAGCCGCCATAAAACTGGATTCAGCGTTGTCAAACTTTCGAAGCATTGCTTCGACCTGGTGTCTTTTTGCTTCAGTAAAACCCGATGTATCCTCTTGATCAAGGTAATCTTTGAGCAATTCTGAGAAATCACCTTCATTGAATTTTCCTTTCTCCATTTTTGCCTGAAGATAACGCCATGTTTCAGAGATCATGTCGGTGTCATCACGGATTTCAAACGGTGTAATATCCCTCGAGTCATCTGAAACGGTGTTAGTGTTATGTTCTGCAGGCGGAGTAGGGGTCGTGCTTGAAGGGATCTCCGGCACAGCATTCGTGTTGTTTGCATCCGTTGATGTCAAAATATCATGATCGTGATCATCGTTATCATTGTTGGCATTGTCGTCATTGTCACCATTTGGATTCATATCCTGATTCAGCATACAGTATTTGGTTTCGTGTGTTAGGATGCCACATTTGAGACAGAAATTTCGTAAACGCTCATAGCGAAGTTTAAGAGTTGTATTCTCTCCAGGAGAGAATTGGAAATTCCTTTGAAACACCAGAGGAGTGGCTATGTTCCAGTTTAAATGAATGCGGACATAGTCGAGGACTTGTGCCGCTGCATCATCGTATTCAATGTCCATCACTGTCCCCAAATGCTCGGCAATGAATCGAATCAGTGTGCGATTATGAAATTGAGGAGGGATGCCACGAAGTTGTATCCAGAACGGGATGGTGTTGAGCATTTCATCGGTTTGTGTCGGATTCCATTTGTGCATTGAGAGCATCCATTCACCAAAAAACCAAGGGCCACGGTTAAGGATCAGATTTACGGCCTCCTCCGATTGAAAAACAAATTGGAATTTGGTTGGAGTCAGGATTCGTCCATGTACGGAATCACTCATACCCCAAAGTCTCGGCATTTGGCTAAGCAAAGCGCGCATATTCTGTCTCCGGGGATTCAAAAGAAGGCCAACATAGCGAAGGGGTTTGCTCGCGTCGCTTCATCACAAATTGATTGGGGCAGAGCAACGGGTGTCTCATCGTACCCCAGAATTATTTCCTGCATCTTCCGGTGAAGGTTGTCACTCATAGAATTTGGAATTGAAGAGTAACTTGGTGCGTATGACGGATGAGAGAGATGTCGTATATATACTATTGTCCATGGCGGTTTTCGGTGAGAAAAACTCGGGAACCAAAGAAAACCACCTGAGAAACTACCCAGCGGACAATAACCAATTCTGAAAAGCCATATATTTCAGATGAATTGGAAAAAACTCCCAGATAATTGCGAGAAAGAAGAAAAGGGGGATTCAATCTTTGTTTCGTATCAGGAGAAGAAGGAGAGAGAACAGAGCGGAAAAAATTGTCATGGATTTAGAAATATTTATTTTGTTATTCTATGTTAAATGAAATACATGTAACTAAAAGAATCAAGTTGGGTTTTATTAAAAGGAGATAACTTTGTGAGAACAATGCATGTCTTATGATTAGCTTTGGATTTTGAAGTATATATATCTAAAACCAGTTCAGTTTAGGTTGCATTCTGATTTGTCTGAAAATTTCTTTCTTGAAGAAAAGCTAGAGAAACTATAGTATTTTTTGCGATTATTGAAGGGTAGAATTTTAGATTTTTTCATATTGTCAAAAAGTTTAACAATGGTTTTTTCGTGTTGTTATAGCGTTTTATCATTAAAGATTCAGTTAAAAGATTGTGATATCACTACTATCTCCTTTTCAATAAGATATATTTGTTTTTGTAAATTCTTTAAAAATGAAGACCGTATTTCAAATTTATGTTCTCGTAATTTATTTTAAAATAACTACTAATAAATTTATTTTTAATAAATACAGATTAACCACACAAAAAAATCACGGAAAAACCTTGAAAAAACTATGAAAAGATCCATATAACCAAGAATAAAATGAGACATAGTCCTATGTATTATTTCTTTTCAAAATCTGAAAAACACAGATATATACAAATACACGGTACAGGCGCAAGAAATTAAACTATCTATAAACATCGTTTCTGGTTTGAGAAGTTAAGATAAATCTACTAATAAAACGTTTACTTCATCAGGGTAAGTTTAGTAAGTGTATCCTTGAGGTCTGCAAAGTCTATAAAAGCGAGATCATTGACCTGCAACATTAAAGCAAATCAACTTCACAACTTAAGATAATATGATTTCCACTTTCATTCGTATAAAACTTAAGACACCAAGGCCTCTGGTTTGTAAGCTGACAGGATCTAAACTATATTAATAAAATTTGAGTCACATATATATAAGTAGTTTAATTCAGTTGGTTTAAGGTCGTCAAATGTTGTCACTTATAATTTAAATTTCGCATTTTAACAAAGTGAGTAGTATGTCCTTTTATGAATTAGATTAATCATACAAATAGCCACGTTACCTTTTCTCCGGTATTACACAAGCGATTTAATTAACCGACGATCATCCTTTTCACTATATAAATTATCAGCTGCTATATGAACTCATGAGTAATCAATGAAGCCCTATATGACCACTCACACAATAAACAATAGAAACGATGAGTTGAAAAAACGAAAAAAATAGAAACGATGAGTTGACCAATTCATCAAAGACTTCAAAAATAATTGGCAAATAATAGATGAATTCAAGTCTCTTATGTATATTTTTCTTGATAAAAGTCTTGTGTTATATTACTCATCTAACTTACAGCTCATGATACTAAGTCAACGATTATTGAGCTAATTACTTTAATCATCCACATACAAACGGCTCAATATGAAATCCAGAACAGAAAAACAAAAAAAAAAGAAAGACAAAGGTCCAATCCCCTCAGCTTCTTAAAAGCCATGAGCTTCTCATGGACCTCGGCAGCCATCATTATACAATGAGCTACATATACAATAAACGACGAATTCATGACAAGTATTACTTTGAAATCAAGAAACACATTTATGTACCTGGGATACAGCACCCAAAACGACTTGGGCCGCGGGCATAGAGAGTAGGGTCATTATAACTTGCTTTAGTTACGATAGTAACACTTCACTTCACTTCCATCAAGTTGCAGCGCCTTGTCTTCTCTGTCTTTATGGACAAAATATACATGAGCCATGCTGCCAAAAAAACAAGATTTTTTAGTTAGTCAAGCTGGGGGAAAATTCACAAATACAAATTGGAGAAAGACACAAACCTGTCGAGAGTGTTGATAAAAACATGTGTGATCTCTCCGCAAGATGAGAAATGTTCGATCAAAGTGCTCTTGAGCTCATCCGCAGGAACCGAAGTGTCATATCCCTCAACGGTAATGCCAAACCTACTGCAGTATTCAAATTTGCATGTTTATATCAACAACACATCTTACATACACACACAAAAAAAAAGAAGAAGAAAGCATATCAACTTACAATCTTCTGTCCTCGTGTGTCTCTCTAGTAAGAGTGGCTCGATAACGTCTCGTCTCCTCGTCTTCTTCGGGTGTAACCTTAACACGAGCACTCCATCCTCCCACGTCACTTCCATCAAGTTGCAACGCCTTCTCTTCTGCGCCATCTCCGCGAAGAATAACAAAAGCACGTCTGTAACAAAGACCACTTGTTTTTAGCTAAGTTGATCTGGTGATGAAAAATATTCTGAATTTTTATCGTCACAAATATATAGTAAGCAACGAACCCGACACGGCCTTGAGAGAATATAACATTAAAGACTTCTCCGCACAAAGCGAAGTGATCAGTCAACGCCTTCTTGATATCTTCCTGAGGAACCGAAGTGTCGTATCCCTCAACGGAGATCCTAACATTAATTTTGCAGGAGATCAAACATTACCAACAACAATTGACAACACATACAAAATCTCCGGGGAAAAAATAAGAAGCATCCATTAATTTACCGGGGCATTCTGCTACTCTTCAAGTAGGCTTCCATAGCAGCATCACTGCCGAACAAATCAATTTTCTTCCGCTAAAGTGCAACAGATCTAATCAGATATTTTTCTTACATAGGTATTATTTGTGAAAAAACCACTTAATAGAGAAAAAGAGATTTAAAAAACCCAGTGATAAGAAAGCCATAAGTAGAAGAAGATTACTTTGGTGGCGGATCTCTTTTTCGCGGCGGACCTCTCGCTAGAGCTCTTGTCCATGAAGAAATTGAGAAAAGGCAGTAACCCTAGGCTGCCGCTTTACGATGGTGTTTCTGTCTTAGAAAGAAGAAGGTATTTTTTTTGCGTTAAGAAAGAGGAGACACGAAATTTAAAAAGGGTCAATAGCTAGAAGGGAAAATCTCCGATGAGTTGGAATTTAGACACATCAATAAAGATGTGTTGTGTTCATCCTTGTCTGGATCAAAAGGAGAAGAAAAAGGGTTTCGATTCTTACCAGTAATCGTGAATATCATGTCATCTGAAGAAGATACATAATAACAAAAAAAAACATACCTTTTGTTTGATCTTTTAGAGCTAGCGTTGGTTGATTATCCTCTCTGCATATATTATCAAACAAAAATCCATAAAATCAGCTTCATACACCAAATATAATGAAAACAAACAAACTATAATATGCATAAACTATACTTAACCTAAGATCTATATGAACGAAACTAAACCTACGGCTGCAAGAAAAATAAAAAGTGGCTAGAGAGAATTATACTATTTATAGAAAAATGTATTTAGGGTTTACACAAAATATTTTAGGGTTTACAAAGAATAATTTTATGGGCTACGACCCAAAATCAAAATCAAAATCAATAGCACTAAACCAATAATTAGATCATGGTTGTCATTAAAGATATAATTGGAAAAATCGATGGCTAAAGTATGGTGAGAGCGAATGTGGGAGCGCCACGTCAGAAATCTACTTCTCAAATAATAGTATAGATTATAAAAATTTAACTATACATTATAAAAAATATATATTACAAAACATATACTTTGTTATTTTTTTTAACACATATAACTCATACTTTAATTTTTCCACAAATATTTGTATGGATATAAATATTAATTGTGCAAATGTCAAAGTCGCATGCAAACTTGTTGTGCATGCATTTTGTTAACCTCAATTATAGTCTAATTTTAATTTTAGTTATTAGAAAATTTATAATTTTTAAAAAATGTATATATGTCCTAAGAGCGGTGAGGTGGTTGGTACGCACGAATGTACGAGCCGATCATCTACTCGTTTTTAGGATATGTAAAGATAGTAAAACCTAATTTAGTTTAATTAGCAATACGTTAAGGAAAAATATATACTTAAAATATATATTGGTAATATTATATTATATAAAGAGAAAAGAAAACATAATATAGATAATATTTTAAAATATTATAAGAATTTAATTATTATTTAATATAACTTTTATATTTGTAATTATATATCACTGTAAACGGTAGAAAAAATTAAAATAAATCAATTTTAAAAAGTATAAAACAATATGAAACGTTTGTGTGATTCTTGGTAAAAAGTAGTAATATTTATTTGATTGATACAAGACTTTTTGGGACTTGATTCAATTACCCAAGCTTGTACTAATCAGTTGTAGTATAGCATAGGGTTTTATCAATCCAAAAGGGGAGAATGAAACAGTAAGAATGCAATAGAGATCTTAATTCAAGCAGATAAAGATGGTTTTAGAAGTCTAACAACCTAAATGAGCAAGCAAAGAAACAAAAGAAAGCAAGCAAAGAGCAGTAATGGCAAAGAAAAACAGAGCAAAAACAGAGTAAAAACTGAACTAAAGTAAAGTAAAACTAAACTTCAAAGACTAAAAGATGGTTCAAGATCAGGGCAATGGTGATAGGGTGATTCATGTTTATGTCTAGGGTGATCAAAACAAGCAATTCTAAACTCTCAACCTTAGGTAAGGAACACTAATATAGACTAATCCAATCTCTTGGCATTAATCATTTTTCTAATCACATATTAAAGATAAATCTCTTTACTCAAACACATAATCATCAACCATTAAAATCAAGTTCCATAAAACCAATTAGCATGCTAGACATCTAATCTCTTAGGCTAGGTTTACTAATCTCTTATATGATATATCAAACATCAACTCACATTCTCATGCATAATCAATGTCTAAAGGCAATTTCTCACCAATATGGTACTAGGCAATAAGCACATTCAAGCAAGAAATGATAGATGCAAAGACTCATGATTATCTAAACACCATTTTCAAGCATTGAACTTCATTCATGAATTTCATCAAACACTTGGTGTGCATGTGAAAACCTAAAATCAACTTCTCCAACAAAGAGGTACTAAGCATTAAGCACAATCATATAAGAAAGGGAACGAGAAAATCTAAGCCCTAATTAACCTAAACAATCACGAAAATCACCCCATCTGCCCTAATCTCAAACCTAGAGCAAACTACTCACTAACCGTGGTGAAAACCATCAAATCTATGAAGAAAAGATAGTTAATCATGATTAGGAAAACAAAAGATTAAGGTAAATGCAAACTTTTATTGAAATAAACAAAGATTCAAGTTACAAAATCAAAAACCTAAAACAAAGAAGAAGAGACTGCTGGATAAAGAGATGTCTTCCCAGAAATTAGAGATTTCAAGTATTTATAGGAGTCTAAGCGAAAATGGCAAAATTGTAAATAAATGTTCTTAAGTCTGGCAGCGTATCGGTCAGTTGTATCGGTCTAGGCTGATCGATATGAATCATATCGGTCAGTTGTATCGGTCTTGATAGATCGATACGTTTGATTGATATGGGTTGAGCGGTTTCACTAAAATTGCGATATCTGTTGAACGGCATATCAGAATGACCAGAAACCAAGTTTTCCTGAAATCTAACTCCCGTGGCTACAACTTTTGTGAAGAGTGAAGATGTTTAATAGGGACGGAGACTACTCGTCCGAGCTGATCTTCAAGTCGGTCAAGATCAACGGTAAAAACTCCAGATGGACATGTGCTTACTTTATTCACCGTAACTCTTCAACCACTAATGGGAATGACTCAAAACTAATTCCAAACGAAAGCTAACTCACGTGGCTACAAAGTTTATGAAGGACACCGGAGCCAAATCGGAATGGAAACATCTCATCTGAGCTGATCTTCAGTCGATATGAATCCTGTCGGTCACTCCTGACCGATGCTGGTGACCGAAATTCATCCGCTGGGTTTATGTCGATCACTTCTGATCAATGCTTGTGACCGAAATTCATCCTCTGGGTTTATGTCGGTCATCCTTGACCGATACTGGTGATCGATACTGCTCCGTATCGGTCATCCTTGACCGATATTCACTGTGCTATGACCGAAAACTTCTGCAGAGATTGTCTGCTTTGATCCTTCTTGCTCCCTTTTGCCCAGCTAGCATCCTGGATCATCCCCAAAACTCCTTCAAGCTCCTTTTAGCTCCAAAAGCACCTAAAAACATCCAAAATGCAAAGAAAATGCAAACTATACTCTAAATGCAACTTAAGTCTAAAAAGAGAAGAAAATGGGACAAAAGCTAAGGGAAAACATGCAAAAGAGGACCAAAATATGTACTAAATGCAGTCATAAATGGTGTAAATACAAGGGATATCAACACTCCTACACTTGCCTTTTGCTTGTCCTCAAGCAAATAAGAACAAATGGGAGTGAGGTTTGAAAGTGGGAGCTCAAAACTAAAGATGTCAATGGAAAAATTGAATCAATGCTCAAGTTATAGGTTCTAAGATGCAAAGAGATTGTTCTACTTTAAAAGCTTTAGCCATACCCATCATATCAAACAATGAACTTTAGCTTAGCCTACACAAGCATTCAAATCAACCAACTCTTTAACATTCATTAATCAGTAACCAATGGATCAAGTTTGTGCAAATCAAGAATAAACATTTGGTCAAGGGACATGGTTATGAAATGAAAATGATCTCATTCAAATAAGGGTTGAAAGATTCAGGGGATCACTCAATGAAATGATTCTATCTTAGGCAAAATGCTAAAGGTAAAAGCACACTTATGCATGCAAGTCAAAGCTCTCTTTTACCATTTTTACCCAAGATGAACTTAATAACTTCTAAAACCCCAAGTGAAACTCCTAAATCTACTCTTTCCCAAAGCACTTGATCTCTTCTTTCTTCATAAATGGGGAAAACTCCTTCTTTTGTTTGTGTGGTTGACTTCTTTTTGGAACTTGCTCTTCCTTGTTGTATGTTTGGCGCCATTTTCATCACCTTTAGTGGATTGCTTGGTCTGATTTCACCTTTTGGATGACCTTTTGTAAGCTTTGTTGTTGTTGGCACATTTCTTCTTTAGTACTTAGAGCTTTCTTCCTAGTTAACTTAACCACCAAATGAGCTGTTCCCCTATACTACTAATATTGCTGCATATTTAGTGTATTTTGCATACATATAAGTTAGTTTCTCATGCATTTACCTTGCATATTATGCTAGTTTGCATCACTTTAGGTCCTAGAGTACTTTTGCACCAGCATTTGCATGTTTCGTGCATTTTGCATCACAATCAGGTTGTTTTCGGTTACTTTGGAGCTATGGAAGATTTGTGGACGTGCTAAGGCTCGTGAGGAAGTCCGTGGACACTTGGAGAAATCAGGATTGCACGCTAAGGACCTGAGATCAAGTAGCAGATCGAGCAAGGCAGGTCGATCTAGACGAGATCGACCAGAAGACCGAGTGTGGAGATCGATTTGAAGTACGAACGTAAACGGCGCCATGCAGATCGAGAACCGGATCGAGCTTCCAACCCGATCAGCACAAGATCGACTCAGAGATCGACCTAGAGCCATCTGATCCAAGACAAGATCGAGTGCCAGATCGAGCTTCGTGATCGATCCCAGACCAACCTTATCCGTCCAGCCTGTTTTTGGACCGTAGCGAAGGGGGGGACCAGTTGCGGTTTGGCCATTTTAGGCAAAAAGCAACGATCCCTTTCATTATTCCACCCTGTCGACTACTTTTCTATCATCTCTCTCGTTTTAGGCGATTTCACCATTGTTAGACTTCGAAGCTTTTCTTGCTTTTTTTTGTTCTTGAATATTGAATCGTTTAAGTTAAAGCAATTGTTTTTCATGTTTACTAGATCATCTTCTATGCTTTGTTCAGTTTACTTTATGTGTAGCGAGTAGTTTCATCAGGTTTTGGGGTTGAGAGGATTCAAAGGGGTCGAAAAGGTTTTCAAAGTTTGGTGTTTTCTTGTTTTTCATGGCTTTCTCTTCTAGGATATCGAGTTCTTAAGGCTTATAGACTCTCACGCCAAGATCTTTATGATCCAAAGGGCCTCTTACCTTGACAGGATCCAGAGTTCCTTGAAAATCGAATCCTATAGGCTAGTCTACCTTTCCCAAACGCCGTGGTAGTTAAGGGGACTAGTTAGGCCGTGTATTTGAAATCTAAGTTTTATGCCCTTCAATCTCTTCTTCTGCCAAACGCCATGGGTCTGGAGGAGAGAATGAAGGAGTGATCCATACCACACTCCATAGATGGATCTTGTTTTGTTTTCAAGGCCTAGAGAACCTCACAAAGTGAGTAGATCTAAAGTTTTCAAACCAAGCTTGAACCTTTGAGACCCTTGAACATGAATCTCAATCCTGGACCCTCTTTCCTAGTATTCTATCATCTCTGTTAATCATTCGCTTGCTATTTGTTCGCATCTTGGTCGATTAGATTCATTTCTGTTTAGGC